CTTTTTTAACCTGGATAGCCTCACATTCCAAGCTCTTTTTTGGAAAAATCTGCAATATAGATTTTTTACTGCTTCCTTTTCAACCTATGTTTAACCTATTATTTGGTCTCATTAAAGCACAAAGAAAGATGATGCTGTCCTTAGTATGATGCCAGTATTTTATTGTAGGTATAATACTGTTGTAATACATTTGATCAGGATGGTATTTGCCAGTTTGAAAGAAGCCAAAAGCCTGGTCAAATGCAACTATGTATGGAAATTGTATAGCCAGAAAACTTTCTCAGTACATAGAAGGAAAGAGCACGCTCAAATTGTCTTCTAGATAAATTTGTTTGGGAAGTCCATTTTAGCACAGTTATGTTGAGACCTCTCTATTTCTGATTTAATGCCCCCTCTTATTTGACAGAAAGTATTGTTCTTTTTTCTCCTTAGCTATGCGCTCCATAGAGGAACCACAGTCAGATGAGTAGCTGAGCTGAACAACTGAAGTATTTTTTTACTCTGAATTTTGGGTCTTTATTTGGGAAACAATAAGAGAATATAAGCTCATCTAAAGTCTATTTCAATTTCTCCTTGCTGTTATAATTTGCAGTGCCACTGAAGTCCACATGTGAACATCTGTGGAGTTTGGAACTAGTCCATGCATTTATTTCGCATGGAGATTTGCAGCAGGAAGTGACAAGTTGGAGTATGGGATGGAAGCTAGTTAATAAGAAGGGCAGATGTTTACTTTGTTCTGTTAACTTGTGAAATGGTAAACGAGCTCTGTTGTATCTCACCCTTCATGTGGAATTCACTGTAAGGAATTGTATGCAAATTAAAAGCAAAATGCCTCAAAGTTGTTTGTGTACAAATAGTCTAGTGTTGTTTCCCCAACTATTCAGAAAATAATTTCAATATTTTATCGTTTGTCTAAACTTTTCTACATCAGAAGCCTCAAAGTAAGAAAAGTTTTAAAGCAAAACTTGAAGGCTAGACTCTTGTTTCATCTGTCGCTTTCTCTTTGATTTTCTGCATCTTCATTACTTAATTCCTAATGAAGAGATGAATACATAATCTAGAAACCTCCTCAATGTAAATATGTTTAGCTCATGAGCACATTTTTCCTTTTAACCAGTCCAAACTGATAAGATATTCACCCAAGGAGTATGGCATATGCCATCGCTACATTTATCTTCCCCACATTTTTTTTAATCTCTGGGTTTGGATATTTTTTATTTGTGCCTTATACTGTAAAAGTTTTGTCCTTACCTACGTGTATCATGATTAACAGAGAGTTATCTGCCCATAACTGTCATGATTCCTAAAACCTGCTTTTCCATATTCACAGTAGTATACATTAAACTTACCGTGGTTGTTCATGTTATTGGAACAACACAAAGTTAATGATGCCAAGTGCAGAAACTGGTTATGTGAGTTACAAGTGTGCTATAAATTGCTGTTTTGCCCGACCATAGTACCTGCAATGAAGTCTGATAAATTAATTTGGAGGCAGACAGATGCACAGACTGGATCTGGCTCATGAGCTGCTCTTTTAACACGTGAACTCTGTCCTTGGGCGCCGTGTATCATTCACTGGAGAGCAATGCAGAGATCCTTGAGCAAATGTTGCGAAGTGCGTGCAGCCCTGGGTAGAGCCATATGGGTGTACTTCAGCCCAAGAGGCAACAACCCTACTTTCATCACAGTGGTAAGGGCGATGTGCTGCCAAACACACCGCTTCTGTCAGCACTGGGCAGGAGGAGGACCTGGTAATGTGGCACAACACAAGCAGCATTCATTTCTTCAGTAGCTGGTAGTTTCAATAATTCTGGCAGATTACCCCCTATGTCAACTGCCTGGTATCAGATTAGGCCCCTGAATCTGATACTTCCTAGTTGGAGTCAACAAACTCAACAGTGCTGAACTTTGTGTATTGCTGTTTTCGACCTGCTGCATGTGAGCTATAGAGAGGTCTCCAGAAGGCATGGTAAAGATTGTGCCAAACTCTGTAATCTGCCTAGCCATTGCATAAAGCAGATACTACAGAAGAGTTCTGGGCTGCAATGTTTCCACACCAGAGAAATTTAACAAGAGAATTGATCTGAAGTAGACATGGCCCAGTTCAAGGGGCGGGCTGAAGCAACCCTGTGTCCTAGAGTGTGGAAATGCTATACCCGTGACACGTCATACCTGACAACATGATTCATTTTGCCTAAGGATCATTATCTGTCATTTATTGAGCTACAAATAAGTGCTATTTTGTCATATTTTTAAACAATAATAAAGCAGTAGAGACTTCTGTTTTCTCTCAAATTAGTACACATTGCTGCAGTGGAAGAACCTTCTGTTCAAGACAGTTTTGTAACTATATGCACGAGTTTCCAGGGGGTTGAACTCTCACTTTAATGTCTTC